GAATCTCAAGCAGACTCCCTGCTGAGCGCAGATATCTAACCCCCCCCCCGAACCGTCCCCCAGCCCCTGCCACACAGAGCTGGATCCTGCAACCCTGGGATCATGACCTGAGCCAAAAATCAAAAGTCAGATGCTTAACCGACTGAGCCACCCAGGCGCTGCCTGGGTTCTTCCTTTTAATCCTCCCAACGGTCTTTATAACCATCCCTCTGCTACATAAAGAGAAACTGAGGCACAGAAAGGTTAAGGTAGCCTGACCTAAGGAGCGGGAGCCAGATTGGAACCCAGGCAGCGTGACTCCAGGGCCAACGATCCTTGCTCACTCCTACCTGCATAACCTCAGACCCTGTTCCCTCATGTGCAAAATGAGTCTGACAACAGCTCCCGGGAATTGATAGATGGGTGAAATGTTTACAGATTTAGGGCACTGGACACATGGGTGGCATTTTTTTTCAGTCATTTGTCCAAGTTCAATCTTTCCCTTTTTAAGGGAGAAGCATCATAATCTGGAGAGTATATTAGTGTATTTAATTTTAGTTGCAAATCACATTTTTGAAACCCAAAGTGCCATTTTTTAAAAAGCCTATGCTAAGGTTACGTTGGATTGCAAAAAAAGGGAAAAAAAACACAAAATGCAAGTTGCCTAAGTAGATGGGGGTTTATTCTCACATTAAAAGAAGTGCAGTTAGACCAGTTCCTCCTATCGTTTCGCCTTCTGCCTCGCGCTTACCGCAAGGTTCAAGAGGGCTGCTGAAGCTCCACTTGTCACACCCGCATTCCACCAGAAGGGGGGACACGGAGCAAAGAATAAGACAAATCTCCCAGTGGAGTCAGTTCCTTTAAGGATCTTCTCTGAAGCCCCACAGAGGGCTTGTGCCTAGTCTGGGATTGGGATAGAGTGATGGTGGGGTACAGGAGGCCCCCCGCCCCCCGCAACGCAGGCAAGGCCGGTCACACACCAGAGCTGCATCAGGCTGAGGATCGACTCCGACCGCGACTTCTCTGCCTCGGCTCGACCCCTGCCCTTTCCTGTTCCACTCACTTCTGCATGTTTTTCCGTCCAAAGACCACTTGCAAAAGCACTTGCACCCCAGGCTCTGTGTGCAGGAACCCCATGTTCTTTTTTTAAAAATATTTTATTTATTTATTCATGAGAGACACACACACAGAGAGAGAGAGAGAGAGAGAGAGAGAGAGAGAGAGAGGCAGAGACACAGACAGAGGGAGAAGCAGGCTCCCTGCAGGGAGCCTGACGTGGGACTTGATCCCAGGACTCCCGGTACTGGCTTTGGGGTGGCAAGGAAGACGGGTCCCGGGACGGGGGGGTGGTGAAAGAAAGAGGGGAGGAGGACGGTGGGCACGAGGACAGGGCCTGTGGCAAGGAGAAGGTAGAGCAGGGCTGGCGGGTCTTGCTTGGCAAAGGGTTTCAACACCTATTAGCCCACGGAGAGACCCGTCCCCTATTAGGGCCGCAGCCGTAGAGCCATAGAGCCGGCAATCTTGGCTGGAGTTTATAGAACCAACCCCAACTCGGACTGGCTCAAGGAGACAAAGGAATTTCTGACCCATAGGAGTGAAAACTTCAGGCATGGCTGGATCTAGGTGCTCATATGCTGTCCTCACACATTCCTGTTTCCTAGATCTGCTTTCCTTTTTTTTTTTTTTTAAGATTTTATTCATGAGAGAACAGAGAGAGAGAGAGAGAGAGGGAGAGAGAGAGAGAGAGGCAGAGACACAGGCAGAGGGAGAAGCAGGCTCCATGCAGGGAGCCTGACGTGGGACTTGATCCCAGGTCCCCAGGATCAGGCCCTGGGCTGAAGGCAGCGCTCAACTGCTGAGCCAGCCGGGCTGCCCCTCTGCTTTCCTTTAATTGCCTTTTCTTCTTCTTTTTTTTTATTGCCAAGGCAGGTGCTCCTTTAGCGGTGGGAAACCGCGACACCCACAACCACCACAAATGCCAGCAGCCACGTGGTTGCCGCAGTGAAGGTGCTTCGGGCCAGATCCTGCTCCCGGCTCCACTTCTTCACCCCCTGCCCCACGCCTTTGCCGTGTTCAGAATGCTTGGCCCCCTGACTTGCCCGAGCCGAAAGCACACGGTGGAAGGGACAGCGGGGCCCCGAGCCCGGGCCTCCAGACGCCTCCAGACGCCTGTCCCTTTCTTCTGATTCCTGCGCTCCTGCCATTCCCATGAGGAAGGCACGTCCAGGCGGGAGCACCGGTTCCAGGAGGAGGATGAGAGACACGTGGGGCTGAGCCAGATGATCCTGCCAAGGGGACCCCGGACAAGCCAGTCCCCCAGGCCCGCCAGGATGGGAAAGCCCAGCCCATGTGCCAATTGAAAGAGCAGCATGACAGGTGCCACTACAATGACAACACCTGCCTCTTGTGGTCTCTTCCCCACCCCCCGACGTCCGTGCAAACCCAAGCCGGTCCCTCTGGCCCTGTGGACGCTCCCACCACATGGGCTAAAAGTGGAGAGGGTTGGCCTCCCAAGGGAAATGGGGTCTGGTGCACAGGCAGGCTGCTCAGGCCTCACAGCGACATGCTCCTCGGGCTCCCAGCCTGTCTCCGCAGTAGGTCTGGAGGCTGGGGTGCTTGTACCCCACTACCAAAGCAGGGGGCAAGCCCTCCTGGTCCCTGTGGGAAGCTCCATGATTTGTCCACATCCTCGGGGAAGGGGGTCACCGAATCGGGCCCGTCTTAGTGGCATCAGAGATCCCCCTCTGCGGGATGGAGAGGCCTGGGCCTGGCTCTGCGTGCAGGCCTCGGGGACCTGCGTCCAGCTCTGCCGCTGGTTTCCCTTGAGCATCCTGCTATGTCCCCCGACGTCCCTCCGCTCAAGGATTTTCCTGTGCAGACACACAATAAAAAGAAATATTCTCAGCTTCTTGTTATGAGCTCCTATCTGGGCCCCTCTCAGCAAATATTCAACACGCACGACGTTTACTGTGTCTTACCTGAATATTGGGGGAGTGGTTTGTTTGTTTTTTTTCTTCCCCAAATTATCTCCCAGAAAAGAGGGAACCGCCTTATTTCTGAAACCTTCAAATCCTCTCCCACTAAGGAGTACTCTCTCATTTGCCTTATTTGGGTCAACCGTCGTCGTACTTTTACTGTTTGGGGAAGGTTACCTGTGAAGGCCGCAAACCCATACTGGTTTGGCCTGCTCCTACAGGGCACCCCACAGACTAATCAGAGTTATTGAAGAGAGAACCACAAAATGCAGATTCAGTGACTGTTTCCGGTGGTGTGATTTCATGAACTCAATTGCAAACTTTGTGACGAAGTCTTTCAATGGTCACCAATCTGTACCTATGAGACATTTTTTTTTTAAAAAAGAGACTGCATTTATTTGAGAGAGAGCAGGGGCGAGCGAGAGCACAGAGGGAGAGGGAAGCCGACTTGCCGCCGAGTGCAGCGCCCAACGTGGGGCTGCGTCCCGGGACCCAGGGGGCAGGGGCTGCGCAGAAGCAGACGCCTAACCGACTGAGCCACCCAGGAGCCCCTGAAATTGTGTTGAACTTGTACGCGCAGTAAACCCGGGGAGGCCTGACAGCTTCACTGTGTCGTCTTCTTAACGTAGTAACACAGTTTCTATGTTTATCCAGATCTTTGATTTTTTTTTTCATTTAGCATTTTGTAGCATTCTGCGTACGAGTCCTGTACTGTACGTGTTCTGTTAGATTTACACCCAAGGATTGCATTTGTCTGAGCAGTGGTAAGTGGCGCTTTATGTCTAGTTTGGCCGTTTGTGGGATCATTCCTGGAACATAGCAGCATGATTGGCTCCCAGATGCTTGTTCACCTGCCCTCTTGCAGCCCTGCCCAACTCAGTTTTGGCGGGAACTATTTTTGCAGATTCCTTGGCATTTTCTATGTAGACGATCATGTCATATGCAAAGGGGGGGGCAGTTGTATTTTTTTCTCTCTCTCTGTCTCTGATGCATAAATGTCGATAGATATGTGACTCTCAAGTGGTAGAAGAGGACAGTGTGACTCTGACTTTGGGAAAAGAAGAGCATGTTTTTTTCTCAAATGCGGTTGCTGCAGGTGTTCCTATGGTCAGGGGCCGGTGGTGGTGACGCTGCCCCTTTGGCCTTAAAACCCCACCAAGAGTGCTCCCAAGAGTCATCTCATCTGGCTGTATTCCTACGAGAGGAGACGAGGAAGCTGAAGAAAAGGCTCCAGTAAAGAAATCTATGCGAGATACTCCAGCCAAAAATGCACAAAAATCAAACCCGGAATGGAAAAGACTCAAAACCATCAACACCAAGGTCAAAAGGTCAAGAATCTTTCAAAAAAAAAAAAGAAAAAGGAAAAGACTCCCAAAGCACCGAAGGGCCCTAGTTCTGTAGAAGACATTAAAGCAAAAATGCAAGCAAGTATAGAAAAAGGTGGTTCTCTTCCCAAAGTGGAAGCCAAGGTCATCAATTATGTGAAGAATTGCTTCTGGATGACTCACCAAGAGGCTATTCAAGATCTATGTCCCCCCCCTCTCTCTCTCTCTCTCTTTTTTAAGGGAAAATATTAATTTTATCAGCATTTGGACAAATGTCGCGCAAAGGAAACGTCAACAAAATCATATGGTGGCACAACAAACAAACAAACAAAAAAGCAACCGAAGATGTGAAAAAAGAAATACAAGGTGGAAAACCGTTAAGAATCTCACGATCCAGTGTAGAAACAAGGAATCTCAGCTTAAACACCAAACGAGCACAGCCATAAAAGAAAGCGCTACTGTTCGTGCTGCTGTGTCGCAGGGGCTGAGGGTGACGCAGAGACTGGGTGAGCCCATTGCACAGGTCCGGTAAGTCGCCCGCGCGCCGCCGACGCCCTCAGCTCCTCCGCTGGGGCCGCGGGGCGGGGCGCTGCCCGACGGCGGCGGCCTCCGCTCCTCCTGGGCGCGAGGGGGCGCTGTGCGTGCGGGCGGCGCGGCGCGGCGGCGCTCTCTCTCGGCCTCCTCGGATTGCACTGGAGGCTTTCGGGACGGTGGCGGCAAGATGGCGGCGCCCAGGGCCGGGCTGGGAGCGGGAGCGGGAGCGGGGGCGGGGGCGGCGGCGGCGGCGGGGGTCCCGGGCCGGCAGGGGAGCTCGGGGGTGGAGGTGGTGTTTCCCTCCGAGCCCGCCCCGCCCGCCCCGCTGTGCCCCCACGGTGGGTGCGCGTCTGGGTGTCTCGGGGCTGGCGGCTGTTTAGCTTCCTCCGCCCCACGACGTGGGGGGGGGGGCGGGCTCGCGGGTCCCTTAGGCGGCGGCCCGCGGGGGGCAGGGGGCAGGCGAGGGGGGCTGGGGGGAGGGGAGGGGCGGGGGGCGAGGGGGCGGGGGGGCTGGGGGGAGGGGCAGGCCGGGGGCCGCCGCCGTCTTTTCACCCTAAAACCTGAGGGACGAGGGTGGCGCGAGCTGCTGCCTGGGCCCAGCCCCCGCCGCCCCCGGTGCCCCCGGTGCCCCCGGTGTGGGGGAGGCGGCCCCAACCCCGAAAGCTCAGGTTTTTAAGATTTTATTTATTTCATGAGACACCAGTTTTTTTTTTTTTAAGATTCTTTTTTTTAAAGATTTATTTATTCATGAGAGACCACTTTTTAAAAGATTTTTTAAAAGATTTTATTTATTCATGAGAGACCATTTTCCCTCTTTTTTAAGGTTATTTTTTAAGATTTTATTTGTTTATTCATGAGAGACCAGTTTTTTTAAAGATTCTTTTTTTTTGATTTCTTCGTGAGAGACCAGTTTTTTTTAAGATGGCTTTTTTTAGAAATATTTCATGAGACACCAGTTTTTTTTAAAGATTCTTTTTTTTAAAAAGATGTATTCATGAGAGACCATTTTTAAAGATTTTTAAAATGATTTATTCATGAGAGACCAGTTTCCCTTTTTTTTTTAAGATTTTATTTCATGAGAGACCAGTTTTCTTTCTTTTCTTTTTCTTTTTTTTTTTAAGATTCTTTTAGTATTTTATTTATTCATGAGAGACACACACACAGAGACCAAGAGGCGGAGGCACAGGCAGAGGGAGAAGCAGGCTCCATGCAGGGAGCCCCACGCGGGACTCGATCCCGGGTCTCCAGGATCCCGCCCTGGGCTGAAGGCGGGTGCACAACCGCTGGGCCACCCGGGCTGCCCGAGACCAGTTTCCAGGAGTAATGTCTTGGGTGATCAGTGCCTAAATGGGACAGGAAAGAAAAAAAAGTATTTAAACAGAGTGATGGGTTTAATCATGACAAGTTGTGCATAACATACCAAATCAAGTTTTATGTAAAAGCATCGAAAACTAGGAACCCGATGTACACGACTGCTGTTTGACGTGCTTCTTTCCCCCCCTCCTGTTCCAAAACTAGGGCCCACGCTTCTGTTTGTGAAGGTGAACCAAGGGAAAGAAGAAACGCGGAGATTCTATGCCTGCTCAGCCTGTAGAGACAGAAAAGACTGTAATTTCTTTCAGTGGGAAGACGAAAAGGTATCTCAGCTTCGTGGACACGCGTTTCCCAATTTTTTGATGCACGTGACAATTTGCGAGTGCCCAAACCGGTAAAAACACACGCAGCCTGAGCATTAAACGAGGTGAATGTCTTCAGACAGATGACGATACGCTGGGGTTTGTGTCCGAAAGACTGGAGTTGATACACCTCTGAGTACTGATGTGAACAGCTGTCTCAGAGAACATCCCCTTTAAAGACACTGAGGTGTCAGTGCTGGGTGGCCGGTCCTTTATTGGCAAATACAGATTCATCCCTAAACAGTTTAGGTTGTGATCAGTCCAGGCAGTGTCTTAGAAAAAAAAAAAGACACTTTTTTTAAATGTGTATTGAGCATCCTTTATAGAGCTACCGTATGTATGATCGATGAAGGCGCTTAGAGATACAGTTACGAGCTTGGTATCCTCTCCAGGTAAAGTTTCAGAAGGTTCTGTCTACAAAAATTTCAGCTTTGTTAGGCTTGTTGGGACACAGTCGTGTGTATGACTCTTCTGCACACCTGTTAAAATCACCGTGTGTGGGATAATCCCTCAGTGCTTTAGGATGTTAGGTACGGCATCGTACTGCTCCAGAACTTTGGCAGCTTAGTGTGTTTTGTTTTTGTTTTTCCCTGAAACAGATAGACGCCCGTTTACAACATTAAGCTGCGGTAATTGGCTCCTTAATGTCAGGGTGTGATGCCACTGGGACGGTAGTAAGGTTGGTGGTCTGTTAAATGGCATTCTTATTCCTTTCCAGTTGTCAGGAGCTAGACTTGCTGCCCGAGAAGCTCATAACCGAAAATGTCAGCCTCCTCTCTCCCGAACGCAGTGTGCAGAAAGGTGCTGATGTGGTGTCATTTTTATGTATTATTTTTGTTTTGTTTTTCTGTATGCCTTTGCATTTACTCTTTTTTTTTTTTTTTGGTTATTATGGTAAAATATATATTGCATAAAATTTGCCATTTTAGTAATTTTAAGTATACAGTTCAGTGGTGTTGATTATATGCACAGTGTTGTGCAGTTTTCACGATTACACTTCTCCAAAACCTTTTCATCACCCCAAACAGAAACTCTGATACTATTAAACAGGGACTCGCCATTCCAATTCCTCCCAAACCCTGAAAAGCTCTATATACTCTATGTCTCTATGGTTTCGATTACTCTAGCTGCCTCATATAAGTAGAATCTTATATTTGTCCTTTTATGCCTGGATTATTTTATTTAGTGTGTTTTCAGGATTCATCAATGTTAGTACATATCAGAACCCTGTCTTTTTTATGGCTGAATAATGTTCCATGATACGTGCACATACCACATTTTGTTGACCTGTTCATCCATCCATCAGTGAACACGTGGGTTGTTTTCACCTTTCGGCTCTCATGAAAAATCCTGCAGTGAACATTGGCACACAACTATCTGTTGGAGTTCTGTTTTCAGTTCTCTTGCATATGTATCTACAAGTGGAATTATTGTATTATATAGTAGTTCTTTGTGTAGTTTTTTTTTTAAATATTTTATTTATTTATTTATTCATGAGAGAGACAGAGAGAGGCAGAGACACAGGCAGAGGGAGAACCAGGCTCCCTGTGGGGAGCCAGATGTGGGACTGGTTCCGGGATCCCAGGATCACGCCCTGAGCCGAAGGCACACACTCAACCACTGAGCCACCCAGGTGCCCCTCTGTAGTTCTTCTGGGAACCACCAAACTCTTTTCCACAGTGGCTGCACTGTTTTACATTTCCACCACCAGTGTACAAGGGTTCCACTTTCTCCACATCCTTGTCAACACTTATCATTTTCTTTTTTCTTAAATTATCTTAATAGTTGTGAGGTGATGTGTCATTGTGGTGTTGGATTTTGGTCCCCTAATGAGTGATGATATTATCTTTTCATGTGTGTATTGGCTATTTATGTATCTTTGGAGAAATGTCTGTTCAAGACCTTTGTTCATTTTTAATAGGATTGTAATTTTTGTTGTTGAGTTGCTGGAGTTCTTCATATGTTAAGGGATCTTACGTTCTTAACAGATAGACAGTTTGTATAAACTTTCTCCTACTCTGTAGATTGCCTTTTCACTTTCTTGATGATGTCCTTTGATACACAAGAGTTTTTTTTTTATTTTTTAAAGATTTCATTTATTTATTCATAGAGACAGAGAGAGAGGCAGAGACTCAGGCAGAGGGAGAAGCAGGCATCATACCGAGAGCCTGATGCGGGACTCGATCCAGGGTCTCCAGGATCACGCCCTGGGCTGCAGGCGGCGCTAAACCGCTGCGCCACCAGGGCTGCCCCACAAGAGTTTTTAAATTTGATGGAGTCCAACTTCTAAATTTTTGCTTTTGTTTTCTTTGCTTTGGATGATATAGCTAGGAATCCATTGTCATATCCACTATTATGGAGATTTACCATATTTTCTGAAATACTAAGAGAACTAAAACATTTTTTGAAAGCTGTGAACATATCTTTTTGAGAGTCTGCATTGTTGAAATATGTTTTATTGGGTGACTGGGAATTGAATCCTAGATTTAATTTTTTGGAGACTTGTGAAAAGCCACCTCCTCCTGTGTCATAGGGCCTTGTTCGTATGTGCTGGTAGAAGCCCTTTAAGAAGCCCCTCGTCTGGGATGCTGGTGACAAATAGGTTTTTACTCTAAAGTCAACTCCTTTGGTTACCTGGACTGCTGTGTTTGAAGGATTCTGGGGTCTTGTCTATGTTAAGTGGAAAGGAGGAACTGGGCTCTGTTAAAAATATCTTTCTTGAACTTTTTACATTTTGAAGTCTTTTGATAGAGGAGGCTGTTTCTTAAGATAACACTTAAGAACACTCCTTTTTTTTTTTTTTTAAGATTTTATTTATTTATTCATGAGAGACACAGAGAGAGAGACACACAGGCAGCGGGAGAAGCAGGCACATTGCGGGGAGCCCAATGTAGGACTCGATCCCAGGACCCCGGGGTCACACCCTGAGCTGAAGGCAGATGCTCTACCGCTGAGCCACCCAGGTGCCCAGCTTGACCACTCCTAACCAAAGTACTTTGTCAGTGATGACTACTTAATATATGGAAATGCAATCAAAAACAAAAAATATTTACAAGGGAATTAATGTAAATTGAGCACTGCCGTGAGCCGGCTCATGCTCTGTGTTAGACATGAGAATTATTTAATCTTGCTAAGGTGGTTTACTTAGATGAGAAAATTGAGGCCTGGAGAAATTGAGTGTCTTCATTAAGCTCTTACTACTAGAGTGACTTAGCAGTGACTCACACTTACACCTCTATTCTAAAATGTTATTTTTAAACATAAAAGTAGATAGTGATTAACATATGGGTAATGATTTAAGGAGATTTAAGAAGGTAGATAAAATGTGAGTAATATACGGATATGTCATAATGAGATTATCATAATGATACAAAATAGAATATCAAAGATGCAGAAAGTAGAAAAACATCATCCATGGTTTCTCCCTTTGAACCGACCATCACCTTGTTCATTTTGTAGTGTTTTCTCCTAGCTTCTTTTTACCTGTGCCAAAGTTTGTTTTACAAGGTTGTAGCCATAATGTATATATATAATCTCTTGTCCTTTGGCTTACAGATTTTATCTGATAAGCCTGTTTTTTATGTTATGACATAAGGATATTGGTGATTCAATTAAACTCTGTAGGAAAATCTAGATGATCTTGTTTCCTTGTGTAATAAAATTTTAGTCTGGAGCTAAATCATTGTTCTGTCTTTGTACTGCCAGAGTATGGTTTTTTGATGATAATTTTTGAGATTCATTTTTCATGTTAATTAGAAAATAAAAACACTGGCTAAAATGTGGAGTATTAAAGAATTTTCAAGAGGCCATTTCTTGGAGGTCATACTTTCATCTGTAATCTAGTGCTGTTTCTTGAGAGCGTGTCTTAATAATTTTCAACATTTTAAATCATCTGTAACCCATAACCTAGGATTTTGTTGGTCAAGCTCCCTCCCTCCCTCCCTCCCTCCCTCCCTCCCTCCCTCCCTCCCTCCCTCCCTCCCTCCCTCCCTCCATCTTCCTTCCTTCCTTCCTTCCTTCCTTCCATCCATCCATCCATCCATCATCCATCCATCCATCCATAATCATTCTTAGTTGAGGGATCAAAAAAACCTTGAAATGTTAGTAGTGGAGTTGAAATATGCAAAGATAATGCACTGCTAAGAAGGATGTGCTAAACGTAGAAAAATATTTATAGAAAAAACTGAGTGTTCTGGAAAGTCAGCCGTGATACAGATACCTCATGCCTTCACTGATCGGTACAGTTTAAGGGCATGAGACTTGAACAGATTTTGGAGGATGGGGAGAAGTTGAAGCTTTCTGAAAGTTGAAGTGAGGCTTTCACGGCCTCATTTTGTGATGGATGCTGTTATGATTTCTTATGGACTTTCTGTGGAGTAAAACATTTGAAATCCGTCATTCCTCTAAAAATTTATAATTTTGGCTTTTTAAAATCAGAGGCTTACTAACTTATTATATGTTAGTAAGTTACCTATTCTCTGAGGTGAGAAAATTGAGACTGGCAGTTCATCCTCATGTGAAGATGAACCTAAGGATGATGTATTATTACTCGAGACTAATTGTTTTCTAAGTTAACTTTCTACAACTCATTTATAAATTATCTTATGAAATAACTACTCCATTTGAAAGTATTAAAATGCATTTCAGTATAATTCCTATTCTGCAATGCGAACCTTCATCTGTCACTGTGGAGTAGCAATAGGTTTTCATTGATAATTTCTTTTCCAAATTGTTAGAAAGGAATTATGGTAGCTAGCAAAATAAATTAGCCTATGTTACTTGATTTTTATTATGGAGCTGGTAGTGCTGCACAGATGTCTAGGTGCTACAGAATAGGATTTGATAATCGTTTTTTTAATCTCACTCTTTGAACCATGCTTTATATTTCATGTGTTCAGTTGACAGATTTACATTTTGTGTCTGAGATTTGACTTTCTTATAGTTTTTAGCTGCCTGTTAACGCCCTCAAATGTTATTTTATTATGTAGTATGTTGGCACCTTATTGTGACCTATGAGGTCTTAGAGAAGATATATTTTAATGCTAAAATAAGCATTAATTTATGTGCATCCATATAGTTTTGCTCAGTTGATATTTCATTTCATTATGTTTTTTTCTGAGCTCATTTAAACTCAGATTTTCAAGGTCTGCTATTAGGGGAATGCCATAAACATAATTCGTCTACACCAGGAAAGGCAAATGGAACATCAAATGGAGATCAATAAAAATGACATTTCAGAATGCTAGCCTGCAGTTTGTGAATCATGCTGAGCCATGCGGCAGAATGAATTTCTTCTGCCCTGGGTAGAAAGTACGAATGGGAAGGAGCGCTGAGTAATCCTCAGCCTTTCATGTGTCTCCTACCGAACTTCTAAAACACCTTGTTTCCGAAAGTTAAATTTAAAGCAATATACTTGAATGATTATGATATGATTTTGAATAGAAAGAAAAGGTTAACAAACTAGCAGGGAAGCTCTCTGAGGAACAATCCCCACAAGACACAGAGATGTGCAAGTGGAGGTTCATTTAATGATACTTTTCTTTTCCTTTGTTTAAAAGTAATTAAACTTGGTGCCCTCAGTGGCGGTAGAGAGTCCTGTGTATGAGCGAATTGCGCACCAGTCCTTCATGGTTTTGAACCTTCTTCTCTTCCTGGTGGTTTGGCAGCTTCTCCCCCTCAGCTGGCATCGCCTGGTGAGTGATAGGCAGTCCTTCTGATTGTGTTTAAGGAGCAGAACTTGACACAGCTTTATCCGTGGGGATCTTGCTTCTCTTTCTTCCTGCAAAGCCCTTGATCGTTGC